GAAATTTTGGAAATATCCATTTTTAAGGGGAAATCATGCCGGATTTTTTTAAAAATAAAAAAAAAAATTGAATTTAACTTTGCTTTATATTTTGCTACTATAAGTAATGTCTTGTTTTATATTCAAATTCATTTTTTGCTACTACATTGAAGGACATGGCAGTAAGTTGTAGGCAGTGGCACCAGTGGGATTGATTGGAAGCATTCTCCAGTTGCTGCAACTCCAGGAAGCTAGTGATCTCTAAGTTAATCAAATGGAGGCCTATGCAAGTATAAAGAAGTGGGTGTACATTTTATGGAATGAATATTAGTGATCTCCAGTTATGTGTACATTTTTTGTAAGTGTAATGAAGTGTGTGTGTACACATATATTATTTTTAAGGAATGTCTAGCTTCTTATATGTGGAAGTATATATGTGAATGGTGCAACACTCAAGTTCTTAAGATTGTGATGTACAAAGCAAAACTATATGTGGAAGTATATATGTGAATGTTGTTCAGTCTTGTAATAGAGGGATCTTCCTTGATTGCTCTGTTTTAATCTTTATTCATATTTATCAATTCTGCTTATGGTTGGAGATTGTATGAAATTTTCATAAGTCGGTTATCAAAATAAATACTCAAGAACAGGGGAAATGGTCTCATGACTAAACAAAAAAAATATTACTAATTTGAAGGACCTACAGTACAAAATTTCAAACTAATCTCAGTGAAGTAAAACTATTCACAAGCTTCAATGTTCACTAAATCTCAACTTTAACTAATTTAAGAAGATCAACGTTTTGCCTTTGTTTCTTGTTAGTTTCAACTACGAGGATCTCTCACACATTCATCATGAATTTATATAATTTATATATATATATATATATATATATATATGAAACAAAACAAAGTTAAATAGAATGCAAGCAAAAAAAAAAAAGATAAATGGAATGCAAAGATCTGCTCTCATTTAAAGATTATTACAAAGTTAGATTTGTAATTTGGTTGCCACTATACATGTAAATTTATTTATAATTTTTTTTCCCAACTCTTTTTAACAATTATCTCAAAGCATAAATAAAAATCGACTATTTACATATAAACTTATAAATGTATATATATATATATAATTTTTCAAAATAAAAATAAAACAATTTCTACCAACCGGTATATTGATTTAAAATTTTTGACAAGAAAAGTAATCTCCCGTATTTTGTTTTCGAATTCCTTAAAACTTCTTAAAAGACAATACCAATACCAAACGCTTTATTATATTTTTAATATACAATTATCAAAAACATAATAATCATTACCAAATATAGATCCGATTTTCACTAAAAAAAAAACATACTAATACCTGATTTCTAATAAAAACATACTAATACCAAAACTTATCGCCATCCAAACAGCCCCTTAGTAAAAGGGTAAAGAATAGTTCGCTCTGTGCTCACCGCGCGGCTGCATGTTTTGAAACGTCAAACGAACCACTTCTTAAATAGCCACACTCTCTCTCCAACCCACCCACTCCTTATCGATGTGGGACAAACTCATCTCTGCTCCAAAGCTCCAAAAACTCTCTCTCTCTCACACTCACACCTAGTCCACACTACTCCAAAACGCATCCTCATATTGACTCACGCCCAAGTTTAAATCATACCTATACATCGATCAGTGTAATATGAACTGATTTTGGGTATGAATTTCGCATTCAGATTTCATTTGGTTGCCGAGAAAATTGAGGAGAAGATGAAAGAGAAAATGGGTTTTGAACATCAGTCATCTATGGTTGTTTGGAGGCAGAGAAAATGGAACCATCTGTTTGGAGGCGTAGCTCATTTTTTACTTCCATTCTTTGAATCTGAAGCATTATGAGCAATAAAGTTTCCCAATACTACTGTTTCCTTAACTAATTCTTGTTTTCTCAGCAACCAAAATTGCTGATAATGATTTAATTTTTTTGCAGTAGTTCTTTCATGTTCGATTGTATATTAGGAGTTAGACGGCCACTTCTTTTTGGGTGTGTTAATCGAACAAGTTGGCATAAAAACATAGTAAAAACACACCGATGCACATTAGCCTATATGGTACGATGATGTCTCATTTCCAAAAAGAAAGTGAGTGTCCAAGTCGTGTTAGGGACAAAAAAGGTAGTGTCTTCACTGGGAGGACTATTGAGTATTTGAGTGAGAGTGATTGAAGGGAAATATGATGAAGAGTGTGGTGGGCATTGGGTGTCTAGAGTGAGCATTCTTCCCTCGTTTCATGTTAGTCATGTGGATAGGCATGGCAACGAGGTCGCCCATGCATGCTGTGGCGAATCTTTCTTGAAGCAACATGGTTGAGGATGTTGTTTTGGTCCATATCCTGCTCAACGAGATGTTCTCAATTCTAATGTATTGCGAGATGTCCTGTTTGTTTGCCCAGAAAAAGAAAAAGAAAAAAAAACTGTGGGTTATGGCCTGTGGGAATTAACCATTAAAATGGTGTAGTTTCCCAGTAAAAGCTGTCTGTTGACAAAGCAGTAATGTGGGGATGGTCTTTGGCTTGTTTTGTTTGCGGTTGATGAGGTTCTGACTGTGCTAAGAATCCAAAGAGAATATGAGCTTGTTCATCAAGCTTGAACTTTTAACTTATTTAGTCAATTTCAAGCTCAAATTGAGTTCATTTTTTAGTTAAAACTTTCACCATTTTTGTGCTTGCACGTACCTGAATTTTGCTCTCTTGACGTCCACGGACCACAGTGCACTCTTATCAGCTTTAATTCTTGAACATGCAACTCTTAAGCTGTACTAAGAATGTCCCTCAATGTTCTTACACACAGTGCGCACACAATAGAGACAGAGAGCGTTGTGGGGTTGAAATACCACAGTAGCTCCCAAAATGGGAATTATATTTCATTTGGAAAACTCCCCAAGTCATCATTTTGCTTTTCATGTGCAGTTGTAATTTGACCATTACCTTCCTGTGAAATGAGAATATTGTATAGCTTTTATGTTCATAAATGAAATTCTATGAATGTCATTTCTTTTTTTGTCATTAAGGTGTCCTATCTGTCTGCACTTGTTCAACAACATATATTTATCAAATGAACATGAACTTCACTGCACTTTTTCCGACTGATTTGTCGAAGCCAGGAATCTGCCATTTTCTGCTCTAGTTGATCCTCACAGAATTATGGTACATTTCTGATTGAGTTGTCGGAGCAGATTGCTTCTAAGGAGCTAGCTCAAGGACGATAGTTGTTATATTGTGTTGTAGGAACCTGTCATTGCTATAGGAAATTGGGCTACAAGCTCGAATGTCCTTACATGGCAAAACGCTTGCAATAAGAAGAATAATGTGACATGCAACATTGTTTTGTGATCCATGTTATAGAGTTAATCTGACCTGTATCGTAGTATAGGTTTTGTTTGAGCCAGAAGAAAAAGAAAAAAAGCATGTATTTCGAAACACGCTCCCTATCTGTCAATTAGAACACTTGTACAAACTCCCTCCAACTTCAGCCTGTCTACCTCCCTCTCTGCAGCTAATGTGACCTCCCAAAACACCGCTCTCGACTTGTCTTCAAGCCAAACCGACGACCCACGAATGTTTAGTTACATCGAATTCCTCAACCATGATATCACAACAACCCAATTAGAATTTACTATGAGAATGTTGGTTATGTGAAATGAGCATTGAAGAATGGACCTCACATCTCTCTCCCTCACCAACCACCAGAAATGTTAGGAAGACGGTTTAAGGCGCAGTATTGAAGCACGAACTGTCCATGTATTGGTTTATGATTTGCAAGGTGATCAAAGCAGCAAGTTCAGTATACTTCAAGCAAACTACAGGTAGTGAACCACTAGACGAAGGCACGGAGAGAAGGTTTGTGTTTCGGTTCAAAATTGACATTGGAGTGTTAACAGATGCCGGGGAGTTACCTCTGCCTCTGCCCTCTAAGACACATCAGCCATAATCCATATAACGGATTCAACCATGCTTTCCAATGCCCTTGTGACCATTTATGAGATAAGCTATAAAAATAGTTGAGTGCGAGCACAGCTATAGACACATAAAGTACAGACCTTTCTATAGCTTTGTGGAGTGGGTCAGCCTATGTTGATGTAGACGGGACTTCAAGGCCAAAGAAGATGGAAGATTACACGAACAGTGTACATAATTTGGAGGCAGGGGGTGGCTTACAGATGCAACAACAATCATGTAGATGCCTAGAAAATGTCCTTGGAATGTTTTGATGCCATCTCAGAGAACTGCAAAGGACTAGGGACTTGAAAGTCCTCTGGAGGAACATTTGGCAACTCTCTTGTTCTCTCTTTACGAGGCTTAAACGCCTCATATAGGAAAAAGTCAGGTATGTGATTTGTTGGGAAAAATCACAGGAGGTAAATAAGGGCATACAATTTCAGCTCTACAGTTAATTGATATTCCTTGCATTTGGGGTCACATGTGAACTGCAATCCTGTGTGAAAGCATTTCTGAAGAAGCATCAAAGATGAAACTGTAGTGCATGATCAAGTTTGTTAATGTTAGCATCTAGCAAATGGACCCATAAACAAATCTTCGAAAATTAGAATGCCAAGCTAAAATAAAAAATTTGTGCTTAAGCTACTGAAAAGATGTTGCCATTTGCCCCCACTCGAGGGGAGTATCCTGCAACATTTTCAATAGTTGAGGGGGGAAAATTGCAATGCAGGGGGGTAAGTTGCAAAAACTTGTATAGTACAGGAGGGTTTTGGTTTTTTCAAATAGCCCTCTAATAAGGATTGCTATTTGCTGTAGAAGAGACCTGTATTGATGTTTGACTGGCGTGGTTTGCAAAACTGTTTAGGCCTTTTCCAAATGGTAAGATTACTGGGACTTGCTAATTACCCTATCATCAGGAAGCATCACATGGGGAATAAGTAAAAACCTTCCTGTTCATGCATGAAATGGTTGTGTGAGATTTGTGAAGAAATGGGTCTTTTCAGTATAGCAACTAATTAGAACATAAGAATAGATGGTGTACCAGAAAAGTAATAAAAAGGATCGCATGGTAACTATCCCTAAAAATTATCTGCATCTATACCAATACATTCTAGAGCCAAGTCAATTCAACCAATTCGACTATCAAGTTCAAAGACAAAAGGGCTAGATCATAACTACAAAAAATCGTATTCATCAGAAAAATGTACCTGTATTGTCTTAAATTCAGTATAAAATAAATGCCATAATGTTGGGATGCAGGAATGCTACATCACCAATAAATGGAGCAAGTTTACCAAGCGAATCTGCTGACCTGAGGCTTCCATTGACAAATGCAATTTGGTGAGGGGATCCATGACGTCAGATTGAGACATTAGTCTTCACAATGAATGATTTTGTCATTACCCATCGTTGTTGTCCTCGTTAATGGTTCCAAAAACGTAGACCTGTACATAAAAAAGAATGGAGATTCAACATATTGAATTTATTTGAGTTGAAATCTTACTCAGGGTTACTGCAATTAGATAAATAATTAAATGACAGAACAAATTAAGAAAACTATTCATGTCACTCAACATCCATATGGTTCAACTAATTATTAGACTAACTACTTTCACACCATTGCATTAGCTTGTGGATACCACATCAGTCTAAATAACTACGCAACACAAAGCACAAATAGTAGCATTATTTGTTTCAAAATTCACCCACTAAGAGGGCTTTGTTTTTCGTCCAATTTGTGAGATGCGCTTCAGCTCTTGGGTTCCCCTTTTCATTTCCCTGCAAAATCCAACAAGAAGCACCATGAATGTACTGCAAAAGTTTGATAAAATACATTTATTTACAAGACTAGAAATGGCACCTTTGGTACAAATAAACAATAAGATAGAAGATAGGTAGCAGCATCAAGGTTAATACTGAAATAGCCAAGTAGAAAATGCTTGTATGCTTCTGCACAGATAAACAATTCAACAAAATTGCATCAGCAGAAACACAAACAAAGAAAAGAATAATAAATAAATAAATCCTAAATTAATTTTAGAACGGAGAGGATTCAAAATAGACAAAACGTGGAATTTTTGGCATACCAAAAGTGCATAGTCCTCCATTTGGCAGCCAATAAAACTCAGGTGCCCTGTACACATTTAATCAAAATGCTTTCTAGGACAGTTTCTGATTGCCAAAAGGAGAATTTAGCATTTAAATTTATGCCTAAATGCACTCAATCAGAGAGAGTTTTGCTCTTAGAGCTTCTAACAAGACACATTATACACCTTTCAGGAGCATAACATTTACACAGGCAACTATGCTCATTCGTGAAATTTATTTCATCAGTTTTCTTGATAATAATTTCAAACTTCACCAAAAACATCAAGGATTAAAGCCTTACCCTGCCTCCTCTGGAGAAGGGATTTCGCTTTCCTGAGCAGGTATGAGCATCACAGAATTGGTGCAAGAACAATTCTATGGTAAAATCATCAAAAGGTCTCTGTAAGTAACCAGAAGAAGGAAAGGAATAACATGAATTTTTTTAAACATAAAAGAGTACCATGAAGACGAGTTGCTGAGGGACCCTGATTAGAAGGAAAACAACTATCTGCGAGACTCTGCACAGAATACAATGGTTATGAACAAGGAAATACAGCATGATAAAAAATAAAAAATAAAAAAAAATAAAAAAGGTATTTTTGTCAAAAACAACCTCACACAAGTGGAGGTTCCTTTTAGCCGCTGCAGGGTTGCATCTGGTTTTACGAGGTTTTGAAGTTATATCAACCACGAGGTCACAATGCAAAGCCCCACATAAATCTGCCAAGCACTTGCTCTGACTCTGCATTCATTGAAATTTGTCATATAAATCATATTCTGAGACTATAACCAATTTGGAAGATAAATCCTTAAAAGGCCCAAAAAACCTTAAAAGCAATACAAAATTGCATGTTAGAATGATATATCGAGTACTCAAACATTATCAATCTTTTTCTCCCTTACAAGAAGTATCATGCACTGAAAAAAAAAAATACCATGTACAATGTATACAAACAATGAGAGTCTCAACATGACTTATCAAACAGGTACCATTTAATTTTTTTTCTTTCTTCTCAGAGTTTGTAGTAAGTACTAGGTACCAATATCTCCTCTCTTCCTAGAATTCTAGAATAATAAACAACGATTAAAAACTTCTGTTGTGTCGAAATTATAATGATTTCATAATAACATAAATTATAACACGCCTGAGAAAGCAAATCTCTTTTTTCTGCCCTTCTTTTATTTGGTCAATTGAGTATGAGCTGGCTAAATCAACCAGATAACAAGATGAACACAAAACATTATGTGTTATGGTAACCAAAGAGATGATGGAAGTCACCTCATGTTTTCAAATCAAGTTATAGATCAACAGACTATGGGCCAGGAAGGTCAGGTCGTATCTGTTTGATTCTCAACCTAAATGCCATGGACAGAAGTCCATTAGTTGCTAGCAAATAAAGAAAAAAAAAAGTAATAGATCAAAAGATTAGTTATGCCAAGCTATAATGCTTCTTTTTGGTTTTGGCCATCTACACATAGTATCGCATCATAACATGTTTCAGAAAAATTAAGTTATGACATCTAAATATAAAGACATGAGTCAAAGAATAACAAAGACACAGGATCAGTTAACTAAGCCAGATAATTACATAAACTACAGAAGCATCTGCATCAATGACAGCAAGCATCACGAACAATGGATCAATAGTAAAGGTAATTTAGTGCTCCCTATAGCACGACAATTTTGAAAAACTGCAGCCAAACATAGATGGTAAATTATATTATCAAAAAGGAACAAGGTAACAAGATTGACATACAACATTCAGAAGATTGTAGTGTCTGTTGTCATAATGTTGATCAAGATATTTCTCTGCTCGGAAGATTTTCTTACAGTATCCGCAGCGCCATTCATTTATGTCCACATGAATCTTGTGCTGCTCCTGATCCCTAAAGATATCATTGTCAGGATGGAGTCTACACTTACTTGGGATCTGATACTTTTCTTGTTCCACAAATGGCATTAAATACTGCACAATACATGTAAATGTCATAATCTTAAATGTTAATCGAAGCAGAGCACTATACATCCACACAACATATTTTGCATGTCACCTCCTCGATAATTTTCGAAGCTGCCCTACTTCTTTCCCTTGAACAATGTACTTCAGGGGCATGCTCTTGTTCTTGCTTAAGATTTCTAGTCATCAAAATAAAATTTAGATTATTTAAAGAAAAAAAAATAATATAAGAAATAGCACCGCAACAAACATATCAGCTACTAAATAAAACCTCAATAATTTTATATTTTCATTTGTAAAAGCCACAATTCTAAAAAATGATAAGATTTTAGCTTTTAGCCTAATCTGGTGATAGAAAGTTACCTTGAAGCTGGAGGATGATCAGTGTTCTGTAGCACCAGAAAGAAAACAGAAAAAACAAAAAAAAGAAAGAAAGAAAACAAAGTCATATTTGGGAGGAGTTGATATTATAAGTTGAATATACATGCGCATTCAAAAGAATTCAAACATATAGGCACATGAATAAGAATGTGAAATAAGTAGAACGAAGGTCCAGCAGATGTGAGAAAAATAGAGCTGAATGAAACATATTGCTATACAGTACAAAGTTTCCGACAAGAATAAAAGGATGGAGACTATAATCTCCAAATACCACATGAGCACTACAAGCCAATTTGAGGTCAAGCTATTCGATCACCCAGTGGGTGTGACCAAGTAAGTAGCCAAAGAAATTATAATTAAGGTAATAGACTGATAAACAACAATTGCCGGCTTGCTTGATTGAAATCTACACCAAAATGTAAGATTACAATTTTTAAAGTAAAAAAAAAAAATTATTATTATTATTAACTTGATTGTACTATTTAGCTATGTCGAGGTCATATTCACACCTCTCCAATAGCATTATGGGAGTTGTTTGCCCGTGAAAAAAAAAAAATAACAAATTAAAAAAATTTTGAACCCATGAAGTGCCTTTATCTTGTCATCAATTTTCTAATTACCCAAGATAAAAAGAGAGGTAAAGCATAAAATTCCATATTCATAACTCTCAATTTCTTTCCTCATTTTATTAGCAAACAACACAAGTTGTATGCATAAACATACGTACTAATACAATTTCATATCCATAGTAATAGGGTTCAGAAATTTCAAAAGTCAATTATAACATAATTACAATTGAAAGACCATGTCAGATTCATAAACATAAGCTAATCCTCAATGATAACAAAGAAACTCCAAAACTTGATTGATATGTAATAGCACCCAATTACCCATTTCAAATTCTACATAAAAATACACATGCAATTCCATATCCGTACTAATAGGGTTCAGCAATTTCAAAAGTCAATTAACACATCAATTACAGCTGAGATACTAAGTCACATGCATATACATAATTATAAATTAATCCTCAATTTGCTTAGATTCAACGATAACAAAGAAACCCCCAAACCAAACTGACATGTAATAACACCCAATTACCCTTTTCAAAATCTACAGTTTATATAGTCCAATAGAACGATGCAAACAAAAAACAACAACACAGATATATACACACAACCATATATATATATATATACATATAAATATAGATCAAGACCTGGATTTCCTGTGCAAGAGACGAAGGAGTTGAAGTGGAAAGCCATACGAATAGAGAAACACACACCATCACCGTCGTCCTCATCTCTCTCTCGATTCACAAACCACACTCCGAACGATATAAAACACGCCCAGCACAAGACGACATCGTTTTGAACTGGGCTTTTGAAAAAAAAATTAGACGGCGCCTAACGCCGTTACTTATTAAACGACGTAGTCTTCTTATAAGATTACTTTTCAGTATTCTATAGACAACGTCACGTAACACTCACGTTAGCTACTTGGCGTGTTTAATATCCTCTGATTTGTGCTCCTCCACGTGGATTGGTCACGCCCGTTGGATTAAGGAGCCAGATCCAATTTTTCCCGCTCGAAATATAAATGGCACGCACTGTCAGTTCCCCAAATCCCAATTTCATTTCTACATTTTCAGATATGGCCTCGAACCGGACGTCGCCTTCTCTTCAGTGTCTCCGCCGTAACAATGTGACGGATTTTGCTCGGAATGTTGTGATAGAGAAGAAGACCGTGATCCAGATACGGATTGCGGAGGTGGAGGTCGAACAGCAGGGGAGCTCGGATCGTACGGTGGATACCGAGCATCGGATTGAGAGTTTGTGTGCTGGATTACTTGATGGCCCTTCGATAGCAGTTTCTACTCCAGAGGATACGGTGGCCGGATCATCATCGCTCCCGGTGTCAGTGCGGAGACACGCAAGCAACTGAACCATCGTGCTGTTCGCCTCCGCATCCACCTTGGTATGACATCTTCTTAATCACTCGAATTCTTTGAACGTAAATGGAATCCTTTTTGTATTTAGGTTTATTTTTTCCTACTGATATTGTCTATTTCAGTGCTTTGATATTGTTTAGTTCAATGATAGGAAAGGACTTTGTTGTTACATGACACCACCTTCCTCAAGTGAAGCATTTTATCATTTTCCTTCTCCACACAAATGATTTGACCATTTTTTCTTGGAAAAGTAGTAGTAGGTATTTTGAATGCATAGCACCAATAATAAAAATAATAAGAGTATGCGCAAAAAAGAACTATAATTTTTTTTTATTTTTTTATGAAAAAAAGTAAGATTATTAACTAAAGAGAAAAACATACAGATTTACAGGGGTCATCCCCATTACCATACAGAATTTGGGTGTAGTTATCTGAGATCAGAATAACCCCAAGACCACCTAGCTATAAGAGTAAGACTCTTGCAGAGATACCGGCTATTGCTAAACAACAGAATAAGGCTATAAATAAAACCCCTTCATATACATATAAATTACTTGCATAGTCAAGTGGACAGCGTTGATTCGAAACCACGAATCGACCCATGCATAGCATTCACCATCAGATCGGGGATCACCCTGTCTTATACCTCTGTTGCTACCAAAGTGCCCACATTATTCCCCATTAACAGACTGAAAACTTAGGAGTAGTTAGGCATAAATTAATCCAGTCAATTGTTTTATTTATGAATGCACTAAGATTTCTTGTTACGGAGGATGGGATGAATACTTGGATTGAGTTGCGGAATTGTGGATTGAGTAGACTGTGTGGAATTGAATTTGCTTGGGGTAGTTGCATGCTCGATTGCATTTGCATTTCCTAGAATCTAGATGCACACCAAGTGTTCGAGAAAATGATTATTATACATTTCCATCACTTTAAGTGCTTTAAAATGTTGCATTTACATGTGCATTTTCTTTAGTTAAATATATCCATTTATTAAACTTAACCGTGAAAAAAAATCACTCGTTAAGATGTTAATAAAAGTATTTTACGCTTAGCCAAATACTCTAAAACATCAAGTGCTTGATAAATGGAATTTTAGTTTAGCTCTCATCTCACATCCTACTACAAGATTGTCTCACTTGGGATATCTATTACTAGCTTAAGATCTCCTACATCTTTATTGCATATTCTTGAGATTTTTGCTATATGTGAGCACTTTGACATACATCCTTTATATTGAGTGAATCTCTTCTCTTAATCGGTCCACATTTGAATAACAAACTTTTAATTGGTAAAATTTCTCATTGTTTGCTAAAGACCCTATTCAACTCCCATGCCTCCTTTCTAGGGTTAATACTTGGGCAACAAACCCCATTCAACTTTAAGTTACATTTTTTATGCTATTTACTGATGATATTGTTTCAATTTATGAAACTATAACATGTATATATGTACAAAAATAAAAGTTTAAGATAAGTAAGACTAATGTGGGAAACACACATGGTTCCATATTAGAGAAGCATCAACCATATGGGAAAAATTGTTGCTCATTTCCTTGCACTCGTAAACCACTCTTTCCTTTTCAAATCCTCTCTAATCTGTTCTAGGAGGGTTGGGCATATGTAAGCTCGATATTACCAGCCATAATTGAAAGACCAAAAGATGCATTATAGTTTTTAGTTAATCAACCGTTATCCCTATGAAATTATTGCTCTGCTTATAGCTTGGAAAAGATGTATGATAAAACTTAACATTGGGTATAATTATTTAGTTTTGCTCTATTTGCTGATCAAATACAAACTGATTGGTTCGATTGATAAAAATGCCATTACCCAGTTTGATCCCGTAGGTCAAGAGCGCAGTAGATTTTAAGGCAAACAAATTGTCAATTATGCCATTTTATTCCTTCACACTGCTCGAGTCATATTTACGACGTTCTCAAAACTCTTTTTTTCCTTCTTATTGTCTTCACCAATTTTCAGTTGACTAAACATCTGTTCATCAACATTTTTTTTTCCTTCTTATTGTCTTCACCAATTTTCAGTTGACTAAACATCTGTTCATCAACATTTTTGCAGATTGATCCACACAGGATAGGAACCAAGAGGCGGCAGGGTTGTGTTTAGCTACTGGATTCTCTGAACTTGTCCTAGCTATGCGTTACTGAATTCTTGGATTCTTATTACTTTTCTATAAATCTGTAAAACCTAAAACCAAGTTGGTTTTTCTTATGATAGTCTAGGGTTTGGTTGTTTGGTCTCTCATGTTCTAGTCAATCTATAAAGCCTTTCGTATATTTGAGGATAGTATGGCATGGTAATGGGAATTGAGGAGCTTTGGCTTGAATTATGGTTTTATAAGGTGTTTGTCAGTGCAAAAGTTTGAGTTCTGCCCTTAGTTAAAACAAGCAAACGAACATACAACCACAAGATTCTCATGGAACACTCAACATTAGAGAGAACATGCAAATACAATATTGTCGTTGAACACAACATTTGAGAGTCGAGATGAACACAACATTTGAGAGTCGAGATGGTACCAACGGAGTTTTTTCTTCATTATCTTAGGCTCTGTTTGGGTCAATGTAAAATGGTTAATTTTCTCATACAGTACGTAATTCTCATTGAAGTGTTGGTCGAATAAAACTCAACTTCAGCAAATCGACCTTATCAAATATGGTTTTGCCCAACGAGGAGTTGGCAGTCAGCCACATTGTCTGCGGCTCCAGCCAAAAAGGCCACACCTGTGCAACTGTTTTGCCTGAATCAGCACTCAACAATTTGAAACTTTTTTCTGAAAATCCCAGAGCATATAGTATCACCACTTCTACCATTCTCCAGCCACAACGTATATAACATTGATTAGTAATAGTTACAAATAAACTCTCGGGGCTAGAAAAATTTGCAAATAAAAAATTTAAATTATCCTATTAAATAATAACCATTTCGATTCCTGCAGGTAGACTCGCTTTGAGCTCCATAGCACGTTCTTTTGCATATTGTTTCTCCTCAGTTTCCTCAAACATCCATGGTCTTCGTCTGCTTGAAAAACTTGTAAAGTGACGATCAATAATAATCTTCTCCAACATGACAGCATTTTTAATCAAGTATTGGGTAAGCTCAAGGTCAATAAGATGGCCAACAAACCCAACCAATTCCACCTCCTTTAGGCATTGATGGGGGCGCTTCCAAGCTTTACGCATTCTTCTTTGTACTTCCACAGAACTCTTGAAATATAATAACTGTGAAACAGGAAAGGGTTAAATCTTGTTTTAAAAATAGACAATTGAATGCGTAAGACTTGACACCATCAAAACACAAAATAACCGATTAGAAGTTAGAACAAACTTTTAGCACCAAGACTTTTTTCATTTAGAAGTAAAACATTTTTGGTGTAAGTTATTCTCCACGTAAAACCCTTTTACATGTAAAGTATTTTTTTGGATAAATTACACTTACCTCCCCCGAGGTTTGTCCTAATTACACAGACCTCCCCTTTGATTTCAAAAACTACTCTGACATCCCTTAAGAAATAAACCTAGTAGCGTAAACGGTAAACCTCTCTAGTCCCAAGTTGTGACGGACCATCAAATGGACTAATGGATTTGTGTATTTTACTTAAATGCGCTCAAATAATGACTGAAAACAATGACCACAGTCCATCACTAGCTGTATTGTCCTCTCTCTCTCCATCATTTATTCTCGTCCTAATCCCAATTTATTCTCTGTTTTTCAGAAAATTGTTTATTGACAGTTGACCTATTTTTTCTACACGAATAAAGCACACATAGAGAAATAGATTAAGAGAGAAATAAAGGAGATTTAAAGAGAGGGGGGATTATTTAGGAAGAAATGGTGGTGTTGGCGTCAAGGATGGACGAGTTGATGAATCCAGAACAACAATGGCATCTCCAAAACCCTAACAGCTGAACCCTTTGTACCCTGAAGTGATCCAATCAAATCCAGAAACCTTGTCTCTATTTCTCTCAAAACCTAAGAGGTCCTTGTACACCGGGCTACAAGAGAGTACTAAACAGGGGTCATAAGACGCGGGAGTGAAAAACAAAATTCAGGCCATGACATCACAATAAATAACCCACGTAATGGCTGAAATGTATGAATGTTGTTTAGTTATACTTTATCTTTTTAATTGCAGAAATTCATCAACTTGAAATAATTCCAATTCAAGAATTTGTGTGAACATTAAAGATCCATAAAACTAAATAGCATATCATATAGCTCTGTGTACACCAAATATGCATTGTTTATGACCCTCCTCTGCCTTTCCAATTATGCATTGTTTATGACCCTCCTCTTATAGCAGATTAAAAATAAAAAATAAAAAAATAAAAAGAAAAATAATAATACATACTTTGTAAGTACAAACTGTGATTTAGATATTAAGAAACGGAAATCTATACTTAACTTTTAAGGAGATAACTGATATATAAAATACACTGTAATTCACAAAATTTGAACCTTACAGAGGTTAATATACAATATTATATACAACTATATAAACTAATATTTTATCTGCCTAAACAATTGTAAACTATCTATAAAGAAGATAATTATGCAATGCAAGTTCCACAACCGTTGGTATAAGAGGAAGTCAGGAGACATAACTATCCTTTGGCATTATGCAAAACAGCACCTACAAATAAATAAATAGATAGATAGATAAAATATTTACCTGCAATTTAAATTTATTCAGCAAAGGCGATGCATGTATCAAGTTGGTCCAACCAAGAAGGCTTTCAAAATCACCAGCCGCAACTTGCAATGTCAAGTGCTTGAGCTTCGTAAATTTTGGAAGTTGCCGGAATACATAACCCTGAAAAGCTAAACTTATTATAAAATAACAAAACAAAAAGGGCCCTTAACTAGGGTTAGTCAAAGTATTGTGGGACGTTGGGAAGATGGACTAGATCCAGATCTAAGCTTTGGCATTATATTTGTACCAAGTAACTGTACTCAAACTCGAATCATTGCTCTAAAACTTAGTGGTTCGAGTTTTTAACATAGCATAGAGCAATAATCACTATGGTAACACTTTAGAATGCATTATTGTTGTCCAAAGTAATTGTACTCAAGCTCGAATCATTGTTCTAAAACTTAGTGGTTCGAGTTTTTAACATAGCACAAAGCAATAATCACTATGGTAACACTTTAGAATGCATTAAAAAACAATTACAATAGAGATATCCAACTGACCTCTTTCACAATTCCCAATGAGAGAGTCTCGAGCTGCGAAAAGTAGCTTGAAAACCGGAAAAGAGCGTGGTCTATTGGCTCAATGAAATCTGAACTAGACACCTCAACAAGCTGGAATGCATCTTTAATTTGCATATTTATTGTTCCACCCGGTCCAAAATATTTAAATGACACAAGACTCGTAGCACAAACCTCGAGTTCATTTAGAAGGGGGCATTTGGAAATCTCCAAAAACTTCAGCCGAAGTGAGGAACCAAAAACTTTTAAATTCACTAAATGGTCTGACCTTTCTACATGTAAAGATTCAAGAAGAGGACAATTGGAAAGGAAGTATTCAAGAATTTCTCCGCTTATGTTCAGATCCTTCAAACAGAGGGATTTTAGGGAACTAATGCTGGATAAACCAGCAGGACTTTTGATGTGAAAATAACTCTGGTTTGGAAAAGCATATCCTTCACCCACGTCCCAAAAACTTCTGTTGCATGGTTCCAAGTCCAACTCGAGCCTTTGAACACTCTTTGCTATTGCAAACTCAATCCATCTATCAATGACACGACTAGAAGAGATATTCAAACAAAAACAAACTCTAAACTCATCTATGGTTGAACCACGAAAACACTCCACCACTTTGTTCACCCAACTTATGTACCTACATCTTTCTACTTCCACTACTTTTTGTCCCGATTCAAGAGCAAAAAATGTTTCTGAAGCATCAAAGTTTAGAACCCTGTTATATGAGTATGTCCATACATGTTCCCATCTTTTCGAGAGTACACAAGTGCGTGCCGCTTCTCTAATTCCCAGAAGAGACACAATAGAAACAATAATTTCATCAGGCAACAGACTGATCCAATCCTTCTTGTAGTTGTTACTCTGATGAACCAAAACAAATTGCAAAATAAAATAAATAAAAAATAATGTAGTTGTTACTCTGAGTAACCAAAATAAATTTCAAATAAGAAAAGAAAAAAATAGTAAATAAGAATAATTCAGAAATATATATATATATATATATATATATATATATATATATATATATTTCAGACTATGTAGCAGTCTAAATTTATTATATATATATATGCATAAAGAAAACTTACCTTGAGTTTTTTTGTGCATTTAGAGATGGGCCTCATCATCCTTTTTCTCATTGAACCTGATGTCACAGTTGTTTTTGCCCTTCTGCTACTCAAATTATAGCTAAATAAGCTCTGCATAAACTACCAAAAAAAAAAAAAAACACACACACACAATTACAGATTAAGGAAGGACCTTATGATAACTCTAAATCTAATTATAATTAAAGTAAAGAGGAAAACAAACAAACCCTTCACTTAATTACCAAAAAAAACAATTACAGATTAAGGAAGGACCTTATGATAACTCTAAATTTAATTATAATTAAAGTAAAGAGGAAAACAAACAAACAATCCATTACACACACACACAAAAATAATAATAATAAAAAAAAATAGACTGATACGTAGTCTGAAATATATATATGTGTGTGTGTGCGCGCGCATAAAGAATACTTACCTTGAGTTTTTTTGTGCATTTAGAGATGGGCCTCATCATCCTTTTCCTCATTGAACCTGTATGCAGACTACCAAAAAAAAAAAACACAATTACAGATTAAGAAAGGACCTTGTGATAACTCTAAATTTAATTATAATTAAAGTAAAGAGGAAAAACAAACAAACCCTTCCCTTAATTACCCAAAAAGGGGGGGGGGGGGGGGGGGGGGGGGGGGGGTGGCGGTGGCGCTAATGCAGAAAAAGAGACTCACCTGTGTAAGATCGAAGATTCGAAATACTTATTAAAAAAAAAGATTGAAGATTCGAAATACGAGCCCTAATTTCTTCAAAGAACGAACAAAGATTGTAATTCACGTTAAATAAATAGAAGATAGTCGATGGAAGTACAAGTTTTGATTCTTTTCAAGTACTTATAAGATTGATCTGAGAATCCTAGACATAGAACACAAAAAGGTATCGCAGATTCGCAATTTCTCTTTGTTGATGAGTGACTCTTTTAACTTTTAAGTGGTCCTACGTTACGGAATTACCCCTGTGCAATTTGAAAGATTGTTTTAAATA